TGCTTCACCATATTTTCTAGTCTTTGGCTTAGAATGAAGTTGGTTTGGAAACATATTCAGCGATGCTTCATCTCCTGCTTTGCGTTTCTGTAGGCGCCCCGTGCTAGCAGTGTCCAAGCGTTTTGTTTTTTTCCCCCCTTTTCATCCCGCGCCCCCCTGCCATGGCTCTGTGGGCGGGCCCCACACTTTGGGAAGGTCTGATTTAACGAGACATAAAAAGTGAAGGGCTTCTGAATTTAAATATTGTAGAGAAGAAAAACATTTCAGTGCAGAACTATATTTGATTAAATGTGTTCATTAAAAACAGTAATAATATTATAAATGAACCAAAGTACTGATTTTAGAGCTGATTCAAACATGTTAAGTTAAATTCACCACAGTTAACAACTGAAGGTGCTCAAGCTTAACATGTCTGCAGCTCTTTAGTATTACATTAATGGTGTTTTCGCACTCAGCCTTGTTTTTGACATCAAAAAGAAAAAAAATGTCAGCTTTTTTTTTTTTAATTGGAACACCACCAAACTCAGACCCTATCTAAGCCCCCAGTTTTATTTCCGTAATCATTGTGAACATATGCTGCCCTCTTTCTTTCCTACTTTCTTTCTTTCACCGATCAATGTCTGATAAATGGGATTTAGCCTTTTTTGGTGGCCTTGGCTAAATTAGTTATTAGTACCTGTTCCCCCTAGCTGGATGGGGAGATATATTTATCATTAATTAATTATTAATTTCCAAGACCAACCCCAATGTTTTTAAAAACCTCAGCTGTTAGGTTAGTAAATGTATCTTATGATGTTTTTCACCATTTTACACATAACAAAAGCTTTAAAACAAAACTGCAAAGTTTACATGTGCAATAAAGAACCAGGAAAATGTGAAAGCGTACCGATTCTACGATCTTATTTGTTTATCTGATATCCATCCACTAATTATAGTTTACAACAAGCAGATATTCTATCACGTATGTGACAAATGGTAACATTATTTGGTGCTTCCAAATATTATTCACAATTGGTTTCATAGTTTGTATACATACTGGTAGTATATAAACACGCATGCTCAGTGCAGTGTGGCGGGTAGAAAATTTTCCAGTGGGGGAGTGGGATTAATTATGCATTCATAGCATGTGGGAGAAAAAAACTCACAGTGGATTATGTGCAGACAGCTTAATATTTCCATGGCAACGTATACTCAGTGGTTACTATAAAACCATTTTAACCAAGGAAAAACTCACAATGCATTGAGTATATTTGATAAATCGCCCACCCCTAATTTTTAGAATGGTAGGGCTCTTGCATTTTTATTTCCTTATTTTACCTAAAAAGGCACAAACTTTACTATTGGTTCAAGTTTTGAAATCATTCCTCATGAGACAATATTGTGTAAAACTAAGGAAAACACATAATGTTAAATCTAATATCCCATATCAACAAACAACAAATTTCAGTTATTTATTTAGTATGGTTATTAACTGTTACACACACACACATAGACAAATTCTTCCATGTAAACAGGTGACATTCCCTCTCACTCATTATTCTTCTTTCCAGGTGTCCCTTCAGCTCCTCGCAATGTGGTCTCAGTGGTCAACCAGACATCGGTGATGTTGGAGTGGCACTCACCACGTGACACTGGACACCGCGACGACTTGTCGTATAATTTGTTGTGTCGCCGATGCCACAGCAATGAGCGGCGGGCTTGTCAGCCATGTGATGACAGCGTGGTGTTTGTTCCAGGCAAACAGGCGTTAAAGGAAACAAGGGTTGAGATCAGCAAGCTGCGGGCCCACACGTCGTACACCTTTGACATACAGGTTTGTCCACAGATGGAGGGCTGCCTCCCTTTTTCATGCTTTGTTTGTGCTGTGAAGAGATTTGTTGAGTGTTTACAGCAGTGAAAAATCCATTTTGTGTATATCAAACAGGCACTTCGTGTAGGCCTAGACTCATTGTCAGTTAGTGGGAGTTGCAGTCATGCTGGATTTGCAGCAGTTGCATTGGACTCCAGAGGTGTACTAAAAACAGCAAAAAACACATTAAATAAATTTTCATGCATATTTCCAACACTCTCCCCAAAATGCCACTATTTAGCAATTTATTGGCCACATGACTCATGCGCCTCATCACACGAGCCATTGTGTCAAAAAAGGAGTTGACTCTGTTTATTAAGGGACACTCCCACTAGATTTAAATACGTGGGATTGTCCACCATTTCGTTTCAGAACTCAAGAAGCTTCTGGGATAAGAGATTAAACATCTTCAAGAAACTTAAAGAATCCAGTCGCTTTCTTTCCAAGCTCCTTAGAATACCATGACATGGATGACTGAGAACCTACACAGACATTTCACAGCAAATGTGATGTTGATATTTACTGTATTTTAGTTGTATTTTTTGTCCACTGTCAAGAACAGCAAAAGTTAGTACTTAAAAAAAGTAGTTATGCTTATTACCCACTTTAAAAACAACCTTGCTGTCAGCTATTTTTTGAAATGCAAATAGTAACCATAATGCTCAAGGTTACTGAGGCTACATAGATGCTTGCTGACATGCAGGCTTTTATGCACAATCTGCAGTTATAACTCTCAACTTACAGGGTCACCCTGAAGTCTATAAAACCAGTACAATTGCGTCCCTTCAATCTTCTGCCATCTGCCTCATTTCCCATACACGTGTAAGTCTAAAATCAAGGCCAGTGGTATTAGAATTCAGTTCAATGAGTCCAATGACTCTACTAACTAGAGGTGGCTATTTTTTAAAAATAGAATCCAATCCCTGACTATATGAATAGTGTGGCCCATCTGTTGCGGGATGAATATGTCAATATTGATGAACGATAAATTTAGTCATTAAATCAATGTGCCCATATGTCTACTCGTCTTTTCCTCCCATGCATTGAAATTTTACCCCGTTATCATGAGAAACAGGGAGCATACGGGGGGGAAAAAAGCTGTACTGTTTGGTGGGAGCACCTACTGCTAGAGGTGGGCAAGCATCGGTACTATCGATACTAATCCATTAGGTACCAACCGGATCAATACAACATGATAGGATTGATATTTTGTATCTGTCCTCTAAGTTTAATATGTAGTTCAGTGAATTGTTTTAAATACAAATTAATTAGAAATTCTCTTCTTGGATTTTGTTTCTGGGATCTGCTGGAATCACTCACCTAGCTTGTGGGTCACTGCACCGAGTGCTCTGATTACCCCTGGGACCACTGTTACTTTCACACTCTACATCTTCTTGAGTTCTTTTCTTAGCCCTTGATACGTCTCGAGCTTCTCATGTTCCTTTTTCCTGATGTTGTTATCACTTGGTATAGCTAATTCTATCTGTCTCAGGCATCTTTACACAGCCTGCACCTGGCGTCTTGCCTGGCGTGATAGACCCCAGCCCAGTCTTTCAGACCAGCTTTGTCCAGCCACTAGTAGGATTTCTGAATGTTAGCTACTTCCTCTATCTGCCAGTGGTACATACCGTGCATGGTCCCGTCCTTCCATGGCTCCTCCTCTCCTTTCTTGGGTTTTGTTTACCTGAGGTATTCACTAAGCACGCAGTCGGTTGTGGACATCTTTCTGATTTATTCATGGATGTTTGTTGTCTCATTCTGGACAGTGGTTCTGACAATAACCAGTCCTCGGCCCTTCTTCCTTTCACTTAGCATGCAGTCTCAGGGTGCAGGATTTTGGGTGAAAACCATGCATAGTCAGGAGCTTTCTTTTTTCGATGTCAGTGGCTTCTGTGTTCTCCTTTGGCCAGAAGGGTTCTTGATCATGGGCAGGGCGTAGGTGCTGATTGCCCAGGTATTGTTTTTTCCATTCATCTGACTCCCCAGGACTTGCCCTACCCTCTGCAGGTATTTGGTGTTTGCCGCTTTTTAGCAACCTCTTCATGGTTCCCGTTTGCCTGTGGGTAGTGCAATCCTCACAGTTCTGACTATCTTCCCTCTCTTTGTTACCATCGAACTACACTTCTCCAGTCCGATTGACATTCCAATGTCGTTGCAGTGAATCGATGTCTTCTTCACTCTTGGCATACAGCTTGATGTCATCCATGTAGAGGAGGCAGCTAACAATTGCTTTATTCCTTAGTCTGGATCTGTAGCCAGTCTTGTTAATGATCCTAATGTGGGGGATCAGGCCTATCCAGAACAACTGTAGGGAAAGGCCATCTCCTTGGTAAACCCTGCACTTGATGGTGACATGTCCAGTTGGATAGTGTTATTCGCCACATCCCCATTAAGTTCCTGTTGAAGGTGCTACGGGTCCTGTTGATCTTGTGTAGTTCTAGATATTCCAGGATCCATGCGTGGAGCATTGAGTCATAGTCTTTCTTGTAGTCAATCCAGCCAGTTCACAGTTTGGTCAGCTGGTCTTTCAGTCTCGGTCTCTGGTATTCCTCGGTCTCTGCCAATTCCATTCTGTGCCCCGCTCATGTGTTGAGCAATGTCCCTGTTCATGTTAGCCGCTATGATTCCTGACATCATGTGGTACTGAGGCAGGTTATTGGTTGGATAGGCACGGTTCTTTCTGGGGATCCTTGGGGATCAGGACTGCCTGGCCTTCATTTAGTCATATTGGGTATCTCTTGTCAATTAGCAGTTGGTTCATTTGTGCTGCCAGACGCTCATGGAGTGAAGTCGGCTTTTTCAGCCAGTAAGCTTGAATTATGTTGGGGCCTGGTGTTGTCCAATACTTCATACTGGAGACCCTTTCTTTGATGTCTGCCACTGTGATGATTACTGGATCCTATTCAGGGAGATTGCTCTGGTTGTGCTGTGGGTTGCGTTCTTCTCCCATATGCTCTTCCAGTATTGCTCTGTCTTCAGTCTTCGTGGGGCTATTCTTACATAGCCATACCAAGACTGGAGGTGGGGCAGTGTCGCAGTGTTCCCTTGGTTTACTCTCCTGATTTCCATCTCTCTGGTATTCCCGTTCAAGCGAGTGGTGACAGTCTAGGGAGGCTTACTGGATACAGGCGCCCTGGTCAGGCATTGAACCTCTGAAGTTCAAAAGATGTGTAGTGTTACTAATGAGTGCTAGCTACCATTTTCCAGGGCCAGGTCAAATGTGCACATTTACCCAAACTACACACGGTAATTACTTCTAATTTGCTCACTTCCAAATTTGCCTTTCTACACAACTTAATTAGTTCTGATTGGATCTCGTCTCTCCTGAATATTTTCATATTATGTTCTTTTGTTGACGAAAGTGTTGGCTCATATAATCATAGTTTTTGTCCTCGTGCATTAGTTTGTTATTTGATATTGTCTTGTTTTAAGCAAAGAAAAAAGGTTGTTGACGAAAACTATGACGTAAATTAACACTGGTTTTACCACAATTCAACCATGCATGAAAATGTACTAACTACTCTAATAACACAAAGTTTTTGAGGCAAAGTTAGATGTGCCTTTTATAGTCTTGATAGGAGGTATTATTTGATTAAGGGACACAGAATAAATAGGGCTTGGAGTAAGTCATTAGTAATTGCCAGCCTTTATTTGCTATGACTGAAGACATTGTTCAACCATCAAAATGATTAGTTGAGCTCATGACAAATATAATACGTGGCAGCTAATTAGATGGTCTTTAAAAAGCACTCCCAACCTGTTAATTGTGTCTCAGTGTTGGTGAGATGAGACACATTTGGAGATCTTAAAGCTTCACAAAGGGACTAGCAGAATTTTTATTCCCTGATATTAAACTAGCTTCTTGTTTCTGATACCTAACTGACTGCTAAACCACAGCAAGTGCCCAATAACAGATTAACAGCTGTAACTGGGAGAGCTGGGTCTCTGCATTTTTGTGCATGTTAAGGTTGAAATGACGCAGATACTGCATACACAAGAAAAGAGTGTGTCAGATGTTTTTTAAGCCTCTAAATAATTTATATCCATCTATTTTTCTTCCGCTTATCTAATTCTGAGTCGTTGGGGTGGATGGGCCGGAGCCTATCCCAGCTGTCACAGGGTGAGAGGATGGGGCCAATATAGCCTGAACTCTCTTAACCACGCTTTCTTTAAGTGGTCATCAGGAATAGTTCTTCAGGCTTCTTGAAGAACATTACACAGCCTTTCTTTGGATATTGTTGCAGAATTTTTTTCTCCCCATTTCTTAAAGACATGACTGTCAAATATTCTATCTAAAGAAAAACGTGAAAGTACCACTGTGAATATCACGAGAGAGTCTGGCTCCTTAGATCTACAGGGTGGGCCATTTATATGGATACGCCATAATAACATGGGAATGGTTGGTGATATTAAAGTCCTGTTTGTGGCACATTAGTATATGTGAGGGGGCAAACTCCACAAGATGGGTGGTGACCATGGTGGCCATTTAGAAGTCGGCCATCTTGGATACAACTTTTGTTTTTTCAATAGGAGAGGGCCATGTGACACATCAAACATATTAGTAATGTCACAAGAAAAACAATGGTGTGCTTGGTTTCAACGTAACTTTATTCTTTCATGAGTTATTTACAAGTTTCATATACAGTGGGGCAAAAAAGTATTTAGTCAGCCACCGATTGTGCAAGTTCCCCTACTTAAAATGATGACAGAGGTCAGTAATTTGCATGTGACACATCAAACTTATTGGTAATGTCACAA